GGGGGGGCAGCTGTGGAAGGGTATCTGTGCTGGGGAGGCTAGACGCCTGGGTTACTTTGGGGGGAGGGCTGTGGAAACGACCCCTGCACCCCAGAGTTGGCTGCATTTGAGCCCTGGAGGGTGTTACGGGGAGCTGTTCTGTCTCAGAGCTGGCTGCATCTCCACAACCAGGGCTCTGTTCTATGTAGCCATGACACACCGCAGAGCTGGCTGCATTTCACAGCCAAGTGAGGAGTCCCTGTTGTATGCAGCCGGGACTTGCCTGAGCTGGCTGCATCTCAGCAACCAGGCCCCTGTTAGACTTGGCCATGACACCCCAGAAGTGGCTGCATCTCAGCACCTGTTGTGGTGTCTCTGGTACATCCACCTAGGACTCACATCAGAGCTGGCTGCATCTCAGCAATCCAGGTCCCTGTTATATGTGGCTGTGATGCACCCTGGAGCTGGCTGCATCTCAGTCTTGGGTGATTAGGTTCTGTTATACATGGACCTGACTCACACCAGAGCTGGCTGCATCTCAGTGCCAAGTGACAGATCCTTGTTATATGCAGCTGTGACACACCCCAGAACTGGCTGCATTTCAGTAACCAGGTCCCTGTTATATACAGCCAGGACCCACCCCAGAGCTGGCTGCATCTCAGCAACTAGGTCTGTTATATGTGGCTGTGATGCATCCCAGAGCTAGCTGCACCTCAGTGCCAAGTGGCAGGCTCTTTGTTATATGCAGCCATGACTGACTTCAGAGCTGGCTGTATTTCACAGCCAAATGATGGGTCCCTGTTATATGCAGTCAGGGCCCATCTTAGAGCTGGCTGCATCTCAGTAACCAGGTCCCTGTTATAGTCAACTGTGACCCACCCCAGAGCTGGCTGCACCTCAGCACTGGGTCCCTATTCTATGCAGCTGGGACCCACCCTGGAGCTGGCTGCATCTTGAGGGCAGGGCAGGGGTCCTCATGCCTGGTCGTGGCCCCTTTATGATCCCACCTGGCCCCGTTGCTTGGTACCCCCATCCCCACCTGAGTCGCTGGTTTCCAAGAGCATCTTTGTTGCTGTGGCAACTGCGGTGATGTCACAAAGCAGGGACCAGGGTGACCTGGGAGGACAGGCGGGGGCTCCTTGAAGGGGACTCTGCCCCGGCATGCCTGGGTTCTTGGCGGGGGCTGGCAGTGCGTGCACGTGCGCGTGCACACACACACACACACACACACACTCTCTCTCTCTCTCTCTCTCTCTCTCTCTCGGATGCCTGGGTTGTGTGTGTGTAGTAACACCCCCCCAACACAGACACTGGACACCTGGGTTCTGTGTGTGTGATAATGCCCTCCCCCACAACGTGCACATGCACACATATGGGCACCTGGGTTCTGTGTGTAGTGCCCGCCAATATGCACACACACACACTCCACTCCCCAATTCAGCCACCAGGTGGTGCCAATGACCTGCAGTTACCCCGGGCGCTGCCCCCA